TGGGTTAGCGGAGTAGGTCGAGGTGCTCCCAGTACTCACACTGCAGCCCTTCTGCCTGAGAAAGCTCTGCGAGGATTCAATGGAGCTTGATGCAGGGAATGAACGGGAAAATGAGAGGAGGTCTTTCAGGTTCCGCTCGAAAACTTGGCAAAGGCAATGTCAGACTGTGAGGAAAGAAAAAAGATAAACAATAGTACATTCAGATTGATTTCCGTTAGTGGCAAAGATGGTTCCACAAATGAGGACCCCCCTTAAAGAAAACCACTGAAATGCCAGACTTTTCAAAGAAGGCTGAATAGTGTCTTTTATGTTCTCTCATATTTACAGGAAGAGTAGAATACAAGCTAGGATATGCCAAACTAGAAAAAGAAGAGGGGGGAAGATTTAAATGCCTTTCCTGAATTGTATGGCTAGAAGGCTATTCTGACTATCAATGGGACACTAATTTTGGCCTCTTCACAGCACAAACTGAGTAAATTTAAAGACCCCATTGTTCTTTCTAAGAATGTGGGAAGCAGATCGAGATGGAAAGGGGACCTAAGGAAGAGTATAGTTATGATTCACTAACAAGGTATAAACATAAAGGAGAATTTTTTTTCTTCTTTCTACATATTATATAATCCATATGGGAAAACTAGACACATTATTTAGTAAAATTTTAAATAACCTGCACAATAGACCTTTTCTGATTTTCCAAAGCCACAATTACATAAATGCAATCTACATATTAGCTGGGAGTCAGCAATGGGGGAGGTTAGGAAGTGGAGGAGCAGTGAGACTTGGAAGATCCTTGACTTCGTCCCAGCTCAAGGTGCCCCAGACTGGCCAAAGGCCTAAAGAGTTTCAGGAAGAGTATTTAAAGGAGGTCTCTGAACCTCCTCTTTACCAAGAGGTTCTTCCTGTTTTCCTAGTGTCCACCATGTAGGAAAAGCATGCCCCCTTCTTGCTTTACTGAACAGGGGAATCTGCTTTGGCAATCTCTGCTCTTCCCTTCCATCCCATTGAAACTTCATCCACACTGCCTTTCAGTTTCCAAATAGGAGACAAAGCTCAGGACCCATCTTCCTCCAACTGCCAGCTCCATGATTCTACTGTGGTGTCTCAGAGGTACCTCTAAGGTGCTCATTGAACATCAACTCAATCTTTCCCCACACCTAATCTTCCTCCTGGCTCCCCCATGTTTGTGAATGGGACCATGATCCACTCAACTGCAAATACCAGAAAATGACGTTACCATCTGAAATCAAAGTCAATGTCAAGGCCTATCTATTTTGCTTCCTGAATATTTCCTTAACTTGTCATTCTCCCCCTATCTCCACAATCACCATCTTAATTCCAGCAACCACTGTCTTTTACTGGTCCTATGACAAGAGCCTCTTACCTGTTCTTTCTGCAGCCACCCTGGATCCCCTGTCCTTCACTGCACTGAAGACTGAGTGACTCCGTAAAATACAAACCAGCATCTTCTTGGTGCCTAATGGTGTCAACCATCTTTTCATGTGCTTCTCTGATGTTCATATATCTTCTTTGGTGAAGTGATAGTTCAGTTTGTTCATTTTTAATTGGGTTATTTTTCTGCTTATTGAATTTTAAGAGTCCTTTGTATATTTTAGATAAAAGGCATTTGTTGAATGTGTGTTCTTAAAAAAATATTTTATTTTCCTTTCCTCAATTGTGATAATACTTTCATTAGTGTGTCAAAATTTATCAGTTATACACATTAATTATGTGGAACTAACCAATGTCAATTATACTATAGTAAAGGTATTTTTAAAAATCTGTATTTTATCTCATCATTCTCCTTCTTAAACTCCAAATGTCTATTTCCTGCTCTCAGGTTGAAGAGCAAAATTCCTACTATTGCCTAATTCAGGCCTGCCCTTCACATTTGAAGGACTTAAAGTAAGAATCCAAACAAAGGTTCACATGCCATATGTCTAATCAATAAAAACTGTAGTTCAAAGGACGCTAACAACCGGCTGGGACTCAAAGCTTATTCCTTCACCTGCTCTGACAGGCTACCTTGTAGCTGTCTGCAGGACTGAGTGGTAACACAGATGTGGTGCAAGCAGGAGCTGGCCTGGAACCCAGGGTTTCCGGTCAGTGCCTGAAAGGCCCTAAACCTGGGTTTGGGGCTAAGTTGGACTGATCTTATGCCGACATGAGTCTGGTAATGCTGGAGGCCACCATGAAAAACCAGAATAAAACTATTCACACCCTGTGGCATTATTTGAGCCTTTGAATCAAGCCTCTTAAGCCATGAACCTTTCATAAATTCTCTTTTTTTTACAATCTAGATGATTACTCAGTTCATTTATGTAATCCATGCTCTATGGTAGAGGTTCTCAGACCAATTTATTTTGCTACATCAGAATATTCTTATATGTCTTATTTAGTATAACATGTTTAAACTGTAGAATATTTAAGTATTATTCTAAAGTATAATAAATCATTCATGTTTTCATAGTCCAAAAATGTAAGATCAGCAAGGGCATGACCCATGTAATAGATATCTTCATCTTAGCTCCTTATAGATTGCGGTGCTGAAATACTCATTCATAATCATTTATTTCTTCTACTCTTTCGATAAGGAATATGAGCTGATGATATATTTATTCTAACTTAAAGCATATATTACTGTAATTCTGATCCTTTCATACTTTATATGAAATATAAAAGCCCAGCAATTCAGAGACAGGTTTGTTGTTGTATGTTTAGTAATAAGTGGAAGAAAATATTGCTATACAGATTTCTAGAGTAGAAATTGTAGGAAAAGCCACTTAACTCTTTTGCAATTCTCCAAACTGACACATTTAACATTTATTATTTTCAATCATTGTGGAATCAATTTATTTATACCTAAGAATGCTTGCTTTCAAATACTAAGTAATTTACTCTGATTATTGAAGATTTTAATAAGAGTAAAAGTGAATAGAGAAGATACTGTTTTGTACTAAGAAGAATTAAACCAATAGATTTTTTCCCAATTTTCCCTAACTTAGGAGCAATTTATGATTTTGTTGTGGCTTTTATAACATAAATATATCTACAGGTTTGAAAAAGGAAAGATTGTGACAGATTGACCCCTTTCTCAGACTATACAGACTCTAAATAATCCATCGTATATATTTTTTAACAGTGAAATAAAAGGAATAAATAAGGAGAAGTTGCTTTGGGATATCTTAGCAAAATTTCTATATGGGGCTGAATCTCCTGACATCTGCTTTATGACAATTTTTCTTCTTAAGAAAACATAGGTTACGAATCAATTTTTATCACTGCTCTTGAGGATACTAAGCCAAACAAGGCCACAACACTATTTCTTATAAAATATCCAAGAGAGGTGAAATGACATTCAAAGTACTTGCCTAAGGTTCTTTATCCTACTAGATCATACAATAAAAACGGTAATAGAATAATTCTGTAGTTGGAAACATGTCATTACACAATATGATTGTAAACTGTCTCATGATAGGCAACAGATAAGATCAGACAACCCCTTTTTCTGAAACGGTGGTACAAAGTTACCTAGGGGCTCAGCCATCTGTCATGTGCACACTTATCATTATCTCCCCCATACACCAAACAACCAACCAGCTAAACCAACTTTAGGTGCCAGGAGTGATGATTCCAACCTTCAAGCAGGGGTTAATGTGATATGTGTAATGGAATTTGATGAGAGAGAGGGTGTGAAAAAATTGTTTATAATATGTCCCTTGATGTTGTGAAATTTTTATATTATTGCACTTTTTAAAATGTGAAGTAGACCAGAGAGAAGATACGCCTCCAGTATGTTCCAGAGTGTGACACACTCTTGAAAAGAAGTGTTGTATTGCTCTCCTGGAAAATGAAAAGCTAGTAAAGACAATAGGATGAAGAATTGACTATCTTTCCTATGTCCTCATTGTTTCCTATTGTCTGCAGGTTTTCCTCTTTTTACTTCCCATTAGCTAACTATTCTACTCTCCATATTTTCTTGGGTATGAAATGTAGAAGAAGTCCTTGACCTGCTGTTAGATCTGACAAAGTGACTTTGGAGAGAAGTTTGTTCCACATTTGTTTTAAAGAAGTTTTAAGACTCCCCTCAGGCTGTTTGTTTATATTCCACAACTCCACCAAGAAAACTCCCCTCGCCAGCCCCTAGTGAATTTATACTTGTTTTTTAGAGGTTACCTCAAATATTATTTCCTCAAGGAAGACTGTTTCAGAATCTTAATTATGTCACCCCATGGTTTTATTTATGTCTTTTAAAACATACTGTAATTTTAATTAAATACTCTTATAATCAATTGTTTAATATCTTTCTCCCACAGTAGAATATAAGCTTCCTATAAAATCTATTTTAGCATTCATGATTTTTATTCTCCATTGTGCTTTAACTCCATTGTCTAGCACAGGGTTTGTTTAATGAATGTAAATGGTATGAACCAATATATATAGTGAACACAAACAATCAGACAATTTCAAAAAAGTAGGAATTTGAACTATTGTACATATGGTCTTTTCTACGTTTCTATCTCTTTGCAACGTATAGTATATAATTTCCTGGGAAGGATATACAGAACTCTTCCTCATATCTGTCATGTTAATTTTAGGAGAAAATTAAGGCTCATTGTTTTCAGGGTTTTTTTCTTTGAAGTAAAAGCTCATTGGGTAATCTGAGAAAACATCCAAGTATGTGACACATTTATTAAATGCAAGAGTAGGAAACCTTTGGGACATGCTGTATATAGAAACCTGGTGCCAATGAGAATGCACGGAAATTGTTCTTTCAATGGACTCACCAGTCTCCTTATTAAGTATTACTGTCATTTGTAAATAAAACCTTATAAGATTTTCTTTTGGGGAGGTTTTAAAATCTTTGAAGATCTCTGTTAACTCTGCATATGAAATGCCAAAATAAATCATTACTTTGCATAATGATTGCCAGATGGATAGCTAAAAAAGGAAAGTATTAATCTGGGATTAGCTGAAGATTAAAGCAACCACTCTAGCTAGTTTAGAAATGAGGGAAAAGATAGGGAATTTAATACTCAGAAAATTCTTAGAAGAGTTGAAGGGCTAGGTTTTATGCTGAGGTGAGCTTTTGGGAATACTCCCAGACACGACCACATCACAGAAACTGGCCTGGGGAGGAAACAGTACCTCTACTATAGTTACAAAGCTGAGGAATCAGGAAACTCTTTTCCTTCCTGCTGGCTCCAGAAGTACCCTGCTTTAATTGTCATTCAGCAATGACGGAGTTTCACTCAGAAATATTGATTCTAGAGCCATGCCACATGGGCCAGATCTCAATAGCAAAATGGATGTCTGGGGTGCATTTTCAGTCACCACTTAACTGAATTCTGAATTCAAGTCTTACACAAGTGCATATGACAGGCAGAACCTAAAGTGTAGGTATAGGAGTTTGGGAAATGTTTCACTCTCTGCTGTCTCTGCAAACCACAGAGGACCACAGAAGGCAGTGGAAACAGAGGTCAGGTGAGTCAATTTATCATACCCAGTCCACTACTCAGAGATGACTGAATATATTTTATTAGGGCATTTTTTAAGAAGGCAGAATTTTAAAAAAGGATAGAGATTTTGTATGTCTGGAAGTATTCCACTGTAGTAGTTCCTAAAACTGAATGATCATTAGAATCAACTGGGGAGATTCATAATGCATTTTAAGATTTTCCAAGAGATTTTGATAGAGGTAGTCTGAGGTAAGGCTGGATATTGCAGTAAAAAACAAAATCTTAGGTTAAAAGCCTATGTATGCTAATGCATTTAATGACTTATGAGTTATAAAATAAATAGTATATTTCAGCCTGCCAGAATCATATGAGTAAATTTGCATTCTAATATTTCTTCAATGCTTAAATACAAAATAAGTATAAAAGATGAGTAATGTGGCTAGTTCTCTGACCCTACCCATGATTCCAGAAATGGTGTGCAACTCATATCAAGGATGCCTCCATATTAAAAATAATGTGTTAGGTGAATGTGATAGCCACTACCCATAGACAGAGACAACAGTGTGGTGATGGCCTGAGGGAAGGGGTGGGAGTGAGGGCTAGGTGGAAGTAAGCAAAAGGGAGAGAAATGGGTGGACATCTGTAATAATGTACATAGTAAAAATAAAGTTAAAATAATGATGATGATGATGATGATGATGATGATGATGTGTTGAATGATACCTGGAAAAGAAGAAACATGACCCAACTATTCTAAGGATAAATTATGCAAAAACAATCTAACATATAAAGTTCTGTATTGCAGTGGAGCATATCCTAAATCATAATACAAATTTCCAAGATTCATAAATTTACACAGCACTCTGTTAATTTATATTGAGACATTTCTGAGGACATTGAAAAGTCTTATCTCAAGAGAGCATATGGGTCAACCTGCACCTTCAAATGAAGAAGACATTTTCATACTCATAGAAGAAACAAAACTTTAAGTCTTTGCAACACATTATTTTAAAGATAATTTATTAGAGCAGCTCTTGACATAGTGTGACAAGTAACATCACAACAAATTACAAATGAGCCATTGAGATTTGTGGTATTTTGCACCCATGTTTATCAAAGTCATAGTTTTATAAGCATATGTGAATGCTAATGATATAAAATTAAAATAAATTTGGGGTAGCAATTCCTTTTTTAAATTTCAAAGCAACTTTTAAACTGGAAATATCCATTGCATCCATTATTATCATTATATTATTTTTATTGTTGGTTTCACACACATAGAAGTAACTTTATAAATATTGGTACCCATCAATTTGGTGAAGGGTGAGACTCCATTTTAGATTGTTAAAAATGCCAGAATCTCATAAATTTAATGATTTTTTATATTACTTTCCTATTTATTTGGAAATATTTATCATTTTAAAAATAACATTTATGACATATATATGAATGACTCTATAGAGAAATTGTAGCAAATTAAGGTGTTTCTGCAACTTAAATACAATCACCAAATATATGTGTTTTTCTGCCTTTTGGTACACATAAGAAAGTGTTCATTATAGAAGAGTGAAATGATTCTATGTAAAACATATGTAATAATACATTTTGTGTATTGTCTGTTTTTACAAATATGGCTTACAAAAGAATACAATTGTATAAATTATACATTATAATTTTCTCATAAATATAATCTATAAATTATAAAAAGCAGAAATGTTTAAAGACTATTAAATCTTGTGGATTATATGCTGCTTGCATCCCTAATCTGTAATATTTAAAAGAAAACCAAAGGTGGATAGATAGCATTATTTGGAAAGCCTTTTCACGTCCTCTGGAAGTCTACATCATCATGATGATATCTTCAAATTTCCTAAGATGAGTTTTCATGGGTCATTTCCAGATTCCTGTTGCTGTCAGCTGTAGGAATTTTCAGGGTATGGCTTTGTAATCCTCATGTGCTCAACATGATTTGTAGTGTGTCAGATAGATGCAGAACTGTTCTTTATTTCCATAGAGAAAACAATTGAAAGGAGACATTTGCAAAGTCAGCACATTTTCCTAAAGTTTGGGGAAGTCAAAGTGTACATTGCAAAAAATATGTTTGGATTGTATAATATCCTCACTCTTTTCCCCATTTTTTCCTACAATCAGACTCCTATTCATTTCTTTTTTTTTCATGTACACTAACATTTTTTAATTCAATTTCTTGGGATGACATTAGCCGATCTTTTATTTCCTTGACATCTGCCAATCCATGACTATATTGGTAATTACTAAAGTATTTCCCAACAAAAGTCAGATCCTTCTCTAAAAGAAAATTCTGATTCAACCTGGTTATTATCTGGGATATGAAGTTTGTTTATACTCCTTGGTTAATTCCATAATCTTATCATGTGTCTATATTGGCCTATTTTAATTTACTTGGTAAGTTACATAAGTAATTATTTTCATTAATGTGATAAATAAACACACATAAACTTTTCACCCAAAACAAAGCCTAAGACTTTGACAACTACCAAATGGTTTTTCTGCATCCATGTCCCTGCTTCTTTCCATCAAAATACTCATCTTCCTGAATCTCATGTTTATCACTTCCTTGCTTTATTTAGCTTAAATGTATGTATATGTTTTTCCAAAACATATATTAGTGTAGTTATCTTTATAAAATGCTTTACATCATTATATGATATCCTGGAAATTAACATTTACATCTGCAATATTTTTGGTGGCTTTTTTGCTTTTTTTTTTTTGTACATAGTTTGAATTGTAATTGCTGGGTCATAGGTTTAGACAATAATGTCAAATTGTTTTCCAAATTGGATTTGCCCATATAGACATTCACCAGTGGATTCATATCTTCCCCAAGACAGTATTGACAGGTTTTTTAATGTTGGCCAATCAAAAGCATATAAACTGATAATTAAATTTGCTTTGATTTCTATTTTCCTAACCACTAATGAGGTGAATATCTCTTCATGTGTTGATTGGCCTCTTGTTTCTTCTTCCGTGAAATGTCTGTTTATCTTCTGCTCATTTTCATGTAGGTTGTGTTTCCCTTATTATGTATTATTTATCTTAATTATTTCACAGTGTGGGTGTCATGAATATCTTCTGCCAGTCTGTAACTTTCACTTTCTTTGATGTAGCTTCTGATGGACAAAGCTTTAATATTTCCAAATTTATCAATGCTTTATTTTATTGTCAATGTGTTTTGTGTCTTGTTTAATAAAACACCCTACACAAAGCGCAAAAATAGCCATCTATATTTTCTACCAGGAATTTTAAAGTTTAAACATTTGAGTCTTCAACTATTTGGACTATTGTAGTTGTTTCCTCTTTTCTGAACTGTCTTTCCCCTCCAACACGTTGAATCAGAGAAGGATCAGAAATAGCATATTACACCCTAATAAGTGTGGTTACATATACATAAAAACACTTAAAGCAGTAAATTGTGAATATGGTAGTTTTTCCTGCTTAGGTAGCAAAAGCATCAGAAAGTCAGGCAGTAGGGCAGAGAAGAATATTCCAACTCACTGCACAGTGGTTTCACAACTGGTAGCTGATCCTAGCATCCTCTAGCTAAGTGAAGCTAAGCTCCTATATCCAAGAGGAGGGTTCTACCAGTTACCATCTGGGAAGCAAATATTTTTAAAAATATTTTTAAAATTTTTTAAAATTCACCCTATTATTTGTAACAAATCCCAGGTCTGGATAAGTATTTCTCTTCATTTAAAGAGGAGGGGCAGAAAATAATCAAATTTAACATGAAATCTGTGGGCATATCTACTAAAAAAGTAGCCAACCATTATCTGGATAATAGAGAATAAGAATGACTTATCAAAACAAATAGAAGAAAAAATAGAAAAATGTCTATTTGGAATATCAATAGGTGCAAATGGCTGTACAGAATAGGAGCAAAATGCCATAAGAGTAAAATACATGAAAATAAAAAGATGATATAGATGAAAAACTTTAAAAATGCTAAGATTCAAAAATAAGATGGATGTAATCAAAAGACCCAAGGAAATTAATAACTAAATAGAAGGAATTAGATCAACCAAGGGGAGAGTAATAAATAGAATGATATTGTTTGAAGAGAATTTTCAGAATAAAGAGACATTATGAATAATGGAAGTGAAAATGTTAGACAGAAAGAAAATGTAAATACAGCCTGATAAATAGAGATATTACTAAGAAATACATTAAAACAGTTGAATTAAGATATACAATAAACATAATTATAATTGAGGAAAACTTGATGTAACTGAAAATTGGTGTCAGTCTATAGATCAAAATGCCACACAATTTAGTGTAATGAAGGAAAAGAGAACAAAACTCTCTAATTTTAGCAATATTTTTGAATCAAATGTAATTCAAAGAAATAAATCTAAAAATAAGGAAAATCCAATAAACATTCAGAGAAAAAGATACATAAAATGTTATAAGAAGTATGACCAACCATAGTTGTTTTTTTAACATTGTAACATTTATATACCAAATAAATATGGAGCAATGTTACAGAGTTTGGGAGGGAAGATGTGACTCAAGTTTTTTGTTACATGTAAATGTAGAAGAGATTTGCTCTTTAAAAACACACAATCAACCAGCATTCTCATGATATTATTTTCACGTGTTGTGTGTCTGCAAAAATGAGAATACATTTAGCAATGGACTTGAGAACTCAATTTACTCTACAACTATATTTCCCTTTCAAATGAGAACATTCTAATTGCACACTTCAATCTTAACAGCCTAGTTGACTTGTGTCTGCCACTGAGACAAGAGTTTTGAGAGTTTTACTCTCAAATCATGTTTCAAAATCCTCAGGATCAAGTATAGATTCTGAACAATGACAAGCACTTGAATTAAGACATGGATTTTCAATTTATAGGAAAAATACTCATACACATCCCTTCCCTGGGGGGAGGATCTTGGGTGTAGGACTGGTGGATGTGCACAGTTTAAGAAATTAGATCAAAATGACCATTATTTTGATTTGCAATGGCATAGGAAAACATTCAGTTTTTATCAAAGAGAGAATAGGTCATAACGATTGAAATAATGCCTCAATTCAGGATTCTAGGGGGATCCTTCAGGAGATAATTGTTTTCTCTGTCTTTAATCATCTCCTTTCTGAACTTTAACAAATAAGTATTAAGTTAACATTTATTTTTCAGAAATGATTATATCATTGTTTCATGTAGTCTTCCAATTTAGACAGCAAAAGGTTTTATCTCCAAGCATTCAAAAGTGTGATACTTCTTTTGTAGTGTGTTTGTTTCCTGCATATAATTCTGTGTTCTTAATTCTTTTATTCTCTTCAAATAGCCTTGGGTTACAAAAATAATTAAAACAAAATGAAGCAAAACTCCACAACCGAGTGATTAGCATTCTTTTTTTAAATATATTTTATTGATTATGCTATTACAGTTGTCCCATTTCCCCCTTTCACTCCCCTCCACCCTGCACACCCTCTCCCAGCCACTTCCCCCCCTTTAGTTCATGTCCATGTGTCATACTTATAAGTTCTTCAGCTTCTACATTTCTCATACTATTCTTACCTTCCCCCTGTCTATTTCCTACCTACAATCTATGCTACTTATTCTCTGCACCTTTTCCCCCTCTCTCCTACTCCCACTCCCCTGTTGCTAACCCTCCATGTGATCTCCATTTCTGTGGTTCTGTTCCTGTTCTAGTTGTTTGCTTAGTTTCTTTTGGGTTTGCTTTAGGTGTGGTTGTTAATAATTGTGAGTTTGCTGTCCTTTTACTATACATGTTTTTTTTAATCTTCTTTTTTTAGATAAGTCCCTTTAACATTTCATAAAATAAGGGCTTGGTGATGATGAACTCCTTTAACTTGACCTTATCTGAGAAGCACTTTATCTGCCCTTCCATTCTAAATGAAAGCTTTGCTGGATAGAGTAATCTGGGATATAGGTCCTTGTCTTTCATGACGTGGAATACTTCTTTCCAGTCCCTTCTTGCCTGTAAGGTGTCTTTTGAGAAATCAGCTGACAGTCTGATGGGAACTCCTTTGTAGGTTACTGTTCCCTTATCTCTTGCTGCTTCTAGGATGCTCTCCTTCATTTTTACCTTGGCTAATGTAATTATGATGTGCCTTGGTGTGTTTCTTCTTGGGTCCAACTTCTTTGGGACTCTCTGAGCTTCCTGTAAGTCTATTTCCTTTGCCAGAATGGGGAAATTCTCCTTTATTATTTGTTCAAATATGTTTTCAATCTGTTGCTCTACCTCTTCCCCTTCTGGTACCCCTATATTTAGATGTTGGAACATTTAAAGATGTCCTGGAGGTTCCTAAGCCTCTCCTCATTTTTTTGAATTCTTATTTCTTCATTCTTTCCTGTTTGGTTGTTTTTTTCTTCCTTCTGGTCCACTCTACTGTTTTGAGTCCCAGTTTTTTTTCCCATCACTATTGGTTCCCTGTGCATTTTCCTTCATTTCTTTTATGGTAACCTGCATTTGTTCATCTAATTTGTGACCAAAATCAACCAATTCTGTGAGCTTCCTGATCACCAGTGTTTTGAACTGTGCATCTGATAGGTTAGCTATCTCTTAGTCACTCAAAAGGATGAGTTTTGGGGCACTAATTTGTTCTTCTGTTTGAGCCATCTCTCTCTCTCTCTCTCTCTCTCTCTCTCTTTTTTTTGGTCTGTTTGCTCCTGTTATGGTGAGGGGCGGAGCCTTAGGTGTTCACTGGGGCTGGGCACCCCAGTCGCTAGATTGTGATGTTGTATGTGAGGGCAGGGGCGGGAGGGAACAAGGGCGGGAGGGAACAATGGCGGTTGCTCATTCTCCGTGGGACCTCAGTCCCTTCCCTGGGATCCTGGGTTGGGTGCTCTGTCCTGCTCCACAATTGCCGCCTCACTGGGTCTGCCAGCTGTCGCTTGCATACTCACGGTTCACCCGCTGCGATCTTGAGCGCCCCAGATGCTTTACACACTCCCAGTTGCCTTTTGCACCCAATTCTCCCTGTTCTCCGAGCCGCGCCGCACCTGGCTTCTTGTCTCCGCCCCTCCTACTGGTGTGGATAAACGGGTCTATTTCAACTTCTTGGCTGTCCAACTTCCATTCAGATAGATTTTTCTATCACCAAGCCCTTATTTTATGAAATGTTAAAGGGACTTATCTAAAAAAAGAAGATTAAAAAAAACATGTATAGTAAAAGGACAGCAAACTCACAATTATTAACGACCACACCTAAAGCAAACCCAAAAGAAACTAAGCAAACAACTAGAACAGGAACAGAACCACAGAAATGGAGATCACATGGAGGGTTAGCAACAGGGGAGTGGGAGTAGGAGAGAGGGGGAAAAGGTGCAGAGAATAAGTAGCATAGATTGTAGGTAGGAAATAGACAGGGGGAAGGTAAGAATAGTATGAGAAATGTATAAGCTGAAGATTTTCTGCCTCTAAATTGTTGTTGTTCCAATCTTGTTTGTGTGCAGAGGTACGGTGTGTCCACCTGTGCCTCCATCTTGCTGGAAGTCCCATCAGCATTCTTATTGTGCTCAAATCCAGTGTGTAAATAAATTAATATAATAATCTCTGACTGCTCTATATTATAAAATACTACGAGATGATTTTCTTGTTTTGACTTTGAAAGAGTACTAGACAGGTTCAAAACAGAGAGTTCTTCCATGGACTGTGTATTTATCTTTAGAGAAATTATTTAATCATTTTAGCATTTCAATCACAGTCTGGAAATGATGATTGCTGCTCTGGATCATCAATTATGTTCCTTCTTCTCTAATGTCCTAGGCCTTTTTGGTGTTTCTACATTTAGTTGGTCTGTTTTCAGATGCTAACAGTCACCCGGCTACTTTGAAGAGGCCTCAAACCTCATGCCTCATAAGCGCTCACCCTGATGCATCCAGTATTCCAAGGTAGGGTAACAAAAAATTCTACTGAAGTAAAACTTTGAGATGGAAAACACTTTAAATCTTCTTCTGAGGATGGAATTGGGAAAGGGAGAAGGAACGAAACAGCTATGATTGATTTTCTTGGGTAAATCAAGTTAGATTGAACATGAAAATTTCATAAATTTTGCTTCAATGAGAGTTTATTAAAAATCTAATTATTTAGTTAATAAAGAACTATATACCAATTATTTACAAAACTATGAAAGCATTCATTTTAAGTTTCTGGTGATATATGCCAAACTCACTTTTTTCTTTTAAGTATTATGACTAACAAAATGGCCGTAATCCACATCAAAGAAGACGTTCACCAAACACTAGTTTTACTGTTCATATCAATTCTGAAACAAGTAGTCCATTAAGGAAGTCACACACAGTTTCATTTTTCATAAAAATACATCTTTTCATTTCTGGTGTTTTGTAGCTTCTGTTAAATCCACTTTGGCAACCATAACATAACAGTGTTATTTAATTTAGATAAAATCATTTCAATGAAATGTTATAACAAATTAAGATATTCACTACTATTTTTAAAAAGCCACTTATAAAACATCAATTGCCCAGCTGACCAATTTAATAATTAGTGTAAGTTAGTCATCAGTCATATTTTTGTAGTCAAAATATGAAGTGAAAAGAGGTAGAGCTGAAATGTTTTTTTTAACTAATCAAGAAAATAGAGCGAAAAAGGAACAAAGAACAGATGGACTTGGACCAATAGAAAACAAAGAGTAAGATGGTAAAGTTTATATCTATCCCAAATATACACTGTCCACAAAAAAATTTATTTAAATATAAAGTTGCATATGTTAAAAGTAAATGATACCAAAAATATCATGCAAATGCTAATCACAAGAAACCTGAAGTATTGTGCTACTATGAGACAAAGAGGACAGGACAAGGAACTTACCAGAGATAAACAGGGACATTTTGTGAAGATGAAAGGGTCAGCTGCTCCAGGGCTATTTCTTGCAAAGGGACGTGAGAGAAATTCATCTTAATTTGTTTATTGGATACTTAGATGTGCACATTTGTCAAAACTATCACACAGTGCACTTTCAATGGCTTTATTTATTGTATGTACATCATACTTTAATGTAGTTAAAAAAGAAAAACTATGGCCATTTGCCAACTCAACCATAAGTGGGCTAGAGCAGTATTACAGCACAGTGATGCAGAACATACACTCTTTGGCCAGATTGCCAGGGGCTAAATCCTGCCTCTATTCCTTACTATCTATAACATTAACTAGAGTAGTTAACTTATCTGTGCCTTAGTTTTTCTTTAAAATGGGTATTATCATAGTTAAGTGGTCATTGGAAGGAATACGTGAGCTGATACAAATGAAGTATTTATAATAGTGTTACATCAAGTAGTCAATAGTTGTTAGCTACCATCCTATTTTGTATTCTCTGCTTAATCCTGGTTAACAGTGGATTCTTCTGACAATCAGCAACTGTTTTAATGCAGCAAAAGGAGAAAAATAAAGGAAGAGGAGTAAGAAATATAGCTCTTTATTGGAAATCAGTTTTTAAACTAGGAATTAACTAGAATTAATTTGCATGCCTAGATTATTTTAGCTTGAGCAATGAGAAACCTCTTCTTGTAATCCAATTTGCATAGTTTGCACACACCCTATGAGGAAAGATAGCAACCAAATACAATGTAAAATTTTTGCCAAGAATTCTTGTAACTTGGTTTGGAAACTCTCAAGAGGAACTGATGGGCTCTCTCCTGTCACATTCTACACATAGGGTATGTTTAATATGTATATTTGAATAAATTAATGCATGGGAGGGTGTGGGAGTGGTTTTAAGTATGTGACACTGGTGACTCTGCTTTATAACTTTACAAAGGAAAAACACAAAGGAGAACAAAATATGATATTGGTTCCAAGGGAGCCTGTTTCTTTCCTTCAAGCACTGTGTAGCTCTAAGATTTTCCACTGCAGGACTTAGACACAGCTCTGCCATTCTAATTGCTGCCCTATTGAGTGATCGTCTCTAAATTTACTTTGTGCCCCATCAATAAAAAGTTTGTCCATCTCATATATGTGTATTTATTTATTCATAACTTACGTGTGAAAATCATGAATATTATAACACATATAAAATGCAAATTGAAAACAATGAGATGGACATAAAATAATATTTTTATATATTGTCTTTTCTCCTATTAAAATTAGCATTATTGTAGCTAGCTCCATATTGCTGTTAGTTACTATTCCAAAACCAAACATGTACTTTGGGTTAAGGATTATTTTTCGTAATAATAGATATAATTAATAAGTCAAGGGGTCTTCTTGTAAACTTTGCAAACCTTAGCCAACTTTTCCTGCTAAAGTTATTTTTACATTCCCAATTTACACCTTAGAATGTGGTTTACAACTTATACTAAGAGTAGAACACATATTAACACTCGTTTTTGTTGTCACCTTGTACATTATTAGAACTATTCTAAATTCTCAGTTTTGTAAAGACATGTTTCCGATCTTTTCATCTCATTTTACAATGCTTAGCTTAAAAAAAAATACATAACATTATTTATAAACTCACATCACTGGGTCCACATACAGACAGTGAATCATAGCTGAAATGTATGGGAAGTGAGACTGACACTGTCTATCATGTACTCTTCCCTCAGGACACTTTGTGACAAGCGCCTGTCTGACATGCCTGAGTAAATGACCTGTGCCAATCTATATATAAATCTTAGTAAAGATGAATGTATACTTCACTTATATAAAATTAAATATGAATGGGAGTACTAATATTTTCATTTGGAACCTCAACATGTCATTTTGCAGATCACTGGGATTCATGTCATGTGCCCTCCTTCAGAACTCAATCAGGAAAGAGGGCCCATAAGCCACACATCGAGAGAGAAGTCTCAAAGATAATGGGTATAAATGCGCAGGCCAAACCTACATAGAATAATGTATATCTTTGTTTTTATGTAAGTGAACTTGATTATTGACTCAACTTTTCATATTTAACTAATTGTAAAAATGTTTATACAGTCCCTTTTTTCTGGAAACTTGGTGAAATCTGTGATTATTAATGCATTTTAGGTTTTCATTACATCAGTTCAAGGATCCCCACTTCCTCCTTCATGAGACTTCACCTAAGATCTGAAGACAGAGGATGAGGTGAAAGGGCCAGGGGCCAGGAAGGAACTGGCTGTTATGGTGGCATCACAAGTAACTTGTTCCCGGTCATCTTCTTTGACATTACATCTGATGTCACATGTTACATCTTATGGCCACAGTACATCTGATGCTGACATTTCCTGTCCCACAGGAGAGGAAGGGCAGTGTAACGTAAGATTACAAAATATTTGGTTGGGGCAACATTGAATTGTGACTCCACTTAGTGCATTGAGGAAACGAAGGAAAACATTGGATTAGAAGGGGTGAAGCAGAGTTTATCTTTTAGAAATCATGAGTTTAAAATGTCTATTGTGCATTCGAGGCAAACATCAAGTAGACTTTAAATATGGCTGTCTAGAATTCAGAAGAGAGGTTTATGGTTAAAATATACATTTAGGAGCCACCAGAAACATATAATTGATCTTTAAATCATGGGACTGAATTAGATCATCTAACTTTTGAACTCCAAGAAGTGAATGTAGAAACATGGATAAGTGATTCATTAATAAATCAGTTGAAGTTCCAGGCAAGGAAGCTGAGAAGCACCCAGTGAAATAGGAGGAAAACTAGGGCAGTGCCACCTATCAGAAGCCAAGGGAAGAAGGACCTCAAGAAAGTATGACTGATTAATTTTGTCAAAGGTGGATGAGAAATGTGGAGAGATCAAGACAGTTTATCTCCAGATTGGGTAACATGGGAGTCATGGATACTTTCGATAGGAAACATTTCTGTAGACTGGGTGACAGTGGCTTTGAGATAAACTAAGACAGAAGTTAGATGTTGTGAGTCACGCAGACTGGTGGCAGCTGATACAGAGAAATCTGATCAGATCACTGGGAAAGAGCTGGGAGGGGGCACAGAAGGAAGCAATCGTAACCAGTCTCGGATGAAGTTGGCTGACAAGCTGAATGCCTCCAGAGCTCATGGAATTGTGGACAAGAAGATCTGAAATAAAGGAAGGACTTTGGGGCTTTCAGACAGGCTGGCTCTCGGGCTCGCTGGCTCTCGGGCTCGCTGACTCTCTCTTCCTCTAGGATGCCTGGATGATCGTGCGGAAGCTTCCTGCATTTCCCAACAGATGGTATTTTAGATGGGAAGGAACTCCGGGTGCAGCTCAGGGTTGGGCTGGCCTGGCACAGGATGGCAGGTTTATTTTTCTTTGGATGTTCTAGAGGGAATGGGTTGTGAGGCTGAAGCCTGCCATTCTTCCAAAATTATGTAGCCTTTGTGTCTTATGTTGTTTTAGCTTGTAAACTAACCCTATAGCAATAAGATAATTAGAAATTAACAGGGGGGAATGATAGAACTCAGATGTTAAGAGTTTAGCCTTAATTGATAGCAGTAAGTGACAAATTCATGTGAAAAGCTGTTATTCCAAAACTGTGAGGCTTTTGAATAAACACTCCTTTCTTTTATCACCAAATCTTTGCCTCTGGAATTTTGCCTAGAGGGTGGCAGCGGGCAGCAGGACCCCATTTTTGGTTTGGTAACACAGCCACTGTGGAAAACAGTAAGGAATTTCCTCAAAAAATTAAAATGGAACTGCTTTGCAACCCAGTGATTCTACTGCTGGGATTAGACCCCAAGAATCCTGAATCACCAGTTCAGAAGAACCTATGCACCCCAATGTTCACAGCAGCACAATTTATAATAGCCAAGTGCTAGAAGTAACCTAAGTGCCCATCAGCAAATGAGTGGATAAAAAAACTGTGGTTCATCTACATAATGGAATACTACACAGCCAAAAAGGAAGCAGGAATTCCCACATTTTGCTTAGCATGGATGGAACTGGAGAGCATTATGCTAAGTGAAATAAGTGAGGCAGTAAAAGACAAATACCATATGATCTCATCTATAAGAGGAATCTAATGAACAAAATAAACTAATGAGCAAAACAGAACCAGCAACATGAAAGCAGGAAACAGACTGACAGCTGCCAGAGGAAAAGGGGGAGGAGGGAACAGTGGAAAGAAGGGGAAGAGAGTAGTCAAAGAACATGTAGGAATGACCCATGGACATGGACAATGGGATGGGGTTGGACTATGGGAGAGATGGACGGGGTGGGATGGAGGAGGGTGAAGGGAGAAAAACTGGGACAACTAAAAGATTATGAATAAGAATAAAATTTTTAAAATTTATAAAAAGTTTCTCATAAAGAAGAACCCATATATTGGGAAAGTGGTTGGAAGATCATGTGGAGTTACAAGAACTGTTATTTGTTTTTAATATGAGTGATATTTTGACATGTTGTTGTGCTAATGAGAATTGAGTAGTAGATAAGGAATGACTGTAGGAACAAAGAACTTAGGTGAGCAAGAGAACACAGGATCCCGGACATAATTTATGACACATAAAAGGAAGTATAGCAATAAATCATGGTGTAAATACAAGTACTGATGAAAGTAAGGAAGTGAGAGGGATAAGGCACAAGGCAGAAATGGTAGAGTGAATGGATTGGAGATGCCTGGTGGTTTCAAGGACTGTGGGGTCAGCAGTGTTAGAAGTAGTGAACTATAAAGAAAATTGTTAGAAATGATGATGGAGCGTATGAGGGTTTTGCTGATGATGGACTGTGAGTTCCTGGCACAGTGAAGTTTTAAGGGATTGGAGAAAGGCTGTGTTAGAGCCATAAAGGATGAGATATGAGTTATAAAAGATGACCGGGGAGGCTTGGACATCATGGGCAGTAAGGCCATTCCTAATGATTGTCTGCAAGGGGATGTCAGTTTAGTCCTCACTAAAGTCTCTTGGAGATGGTGTGTTTGACTATTTGTAGTAACAACAAAGTGGAGTAGTGGGAAGCAGTGATGGTCTCAGCAAAGGTACTGTCAAAGTTCAAGGAGACACATCGACATTGCAAATCAAAATGCAATAGGATAATACATTTTCTACTGTTTAACCAATGTGTTTTTCATCCTGGAAATTCTCTTTTACCCCATTACTCTTCAAACTAACCTTCAAAGCACCTCTTACTACCCCTGAAGAAAAGGAGGGTTGGGGGAATGGGATGAGACAAAAAAATTTAGAAGTTAATGCTTTTGAGTTGGAAAGCTTGATCTTTCGAACTGCTTGATGGTCTCAGGGAAAATTAAGAAAAAGTATAATTTCAGGACATAAGACCTTGAGAAGTAGGAAGGACCTGAGAACTGTAGGCCAGTAAAGGAGTTGCTTTAGGAGCAGTAGGGACATTTCTTTTATTGAAAGAGATGGGCAGGCAGAGCACGTGGACACTGAAGCAGGGAAGCTAGTAGAGTTGGTGGGAGAAGATGAGGAAATATTTGCCTGATTTTCTTTATAATATATGACATAATCATCAGCTAAAAATGAACCTGAAATGAAGTGAGATTAACTAGAATTAGCAGAGATTATTACTTTGTAGAACTCCTATTTGAAATGTGGATGAAAAGGGGGTTCTATAGAAAGTAACTGCACAGGGTAATCTGATCATAAATTCCTAACTAACTAGGCATTGTGGATGGTCATGCCCCAGGCATATAACTTGTTTAGTAACAGGTTTATCTTTATCTAAAGCAATCCCTGCTCATTGTTTCTGTGCATCTAAATTAACACATTTTTGAAAAGCTCCTTTTTAGACACCTCCTTCTCATATAATTTTAACTACCCTTTAATCCAATTCCCTCCTTGCTTTCTCCCACCCTCATGTAATCCTCTCTACATCCCTGCCTTAAATTCTAATGTGTAAAACAAACTTATTCTCTGAAGCACTTGAGCTCTCTCAACCTTGATGATGTCATAAATTTGGCCAAAGTAAACTCTAAAAATAAATTCTCTGCAGGTCTGCACATTTCTTACACCAACAGAAACTAAGTTTGAAGTTAGAAATATAAAGTTACATTTTTAATACAACTGGGTCTTGTGGGCTAATAGTGGTAGCCACTATGCTTAGGAGCCTTTCTATAATAAATACATGCATGCTACAGAACCAGATTATCTTGAGGTGATAGATGGGAGGGAATTTTCATGTGAGTATGAGGCAGACTCCAAAGTCAATACTAATTTCAGATAACCACTGTGTGTGAGTAAATTATTGAATGCTTTAAATTTTCTAGGTAGTTGCATAGGAATCTCTCTACAAGAAAAGAAACAAGAGGCAACAAAGCCTTGTAAATTGCTGCTACAGATAGTCAATTCTCTAAATCTCCAGAGAGTACCTAGGAAGGAGTGAATGTTCTGTGTCGATCACACTCCTTAGATTCTGAATTTCTTTTAAAAGCTGCCTACAATAGCACAGCAGGACAGAGCCCCCCACCCCCTTACCTCATGGGGCTGCCATCAAGCAGTGGCCTGGGGTCTGCACTGGGAGACAAACTGTGTCTTGGAAGGGGCGTTTGGACTTGTGATAAAGCCAGAAAGAACCACTTAGTCCCAGAGAAAGAATTGTTCCAGACAGCTGCTTAGCATTTAGTCTGGAGTAAGCACTCTTTGTTTTGTTTGCCTTTATAGAAACAGCATTTTGTTCTTAGTTGAGACTCTTAAAAAGAAACCGAAGCTAAAAACAGCAGAGAACATGCAGACTTAGGAGGACTCAACAAATCATTGAGAGGCCAGTGGCTCTACGTAGCCTAAGCTCAGCCAATATTTTCTTAAAGTAGACAACTGATAGACCAGGCCATCACCATGTGGATAGGGTGGATCTGGTTAGACCTTTGAGTTGGGAAATCAGCTAGATTGCCTATAAACTGTGAATGCTACAAAACTGGGTTGGCAGAATGGGAGATTATCCCAAATCACACTTATTGTCTTGCAGTAATTATTAACAATGTCCTCTTTGACTTTCAAAAGTGTCAGAAGCTAAGACAAAGGGTGCAAATCACCCTATTTATAAGCAAAGCTAACTCTCATGAAGGACAGCTTCACCCTGCGTGGCCAACGTCCTCAAAGCAGGGAAAGGAGGGATTGGAGAGGCCCAGGCCAGCACTTAGAGGAGGCAACCCCCTGTCAAATGACTGGCAATTCTAGTCAAAGGAGATGCATATAGAACCCACTATTTAGACTTAACGCAGGAGAGGGAGAGAAAATGTAACCCAGGGAACCACAGACTTCATTGCATAATGAGGAAGTTACTCCTTTTGAGAAGGAGATTCTGCACAAAAACTGGTTCTTGCCCTTTTGATTACACACACAGCAAAAGCACCTAAATGAGAAGTCATTTCTTTTTCAGAGCACAAAGAGTTGCTAGAACAAAATAATATTTTAAAATATAAAGTTTGGGTTCTTTTTGCTCCTTGGCCTTTCTTTCAACCAAATTAACAGATTACCTGCTGGTCAACTAAGCCCCCAGAAGAGGTTTGCCCACAGGAAAGCAGGGAGTGGGGTAGGAATGGAAATCTGGGGTGGAGCAACGGATTCGCAAAGACAGAAATCAAATCACTTGGGTTTGGGTCCCTGCTGAACCCCATGTCCTCCATTATCCTTTTTTCTCCAGGCTGAGTCCTGAGATATAGTACAAACAGAAATCCAACATATGACTGGAAAGATCTGAGAGACTATGAGTTGGCTCCTCATTGCTCGGGTGGAATGAGAGGTGGTAGCAAGCTTTCCTGGGGCCCCGTTTTACCCAGCCACACAGCAGAACATTAGAAGAGAGGCGGCCATTTGCATTACTTAAGTAGATGTGTCTGACACAAAATTTTCCTGAGCTAAGTCTGTTCCAAACAACTCAAAAAGGTGTGGAAATTGGTAAGTGTGGAGTGAACCCAGAAAGGCCTTGGAGAGAGCGCGTGGTAGTAACCTGAGTGGAAACAGTAAAGGAGTGAGACTGCTCAGCTGGCAGGCACAGCTGATGAAAATCAAAGAGTAATACACTGGCACCACCCCTTGTTCCCTCAGGAACCACCATTATAACCTGGAATGCGGCCCAACAGCAAGAATGAGGGCGGAGGCAATAATAATGGTAGCAAACATATAGGGCTTTCCCCAGACCAGGCATTATTCTGTGTAGTTGAATTCTCACATCTCTCCTATGAAATAGGCGTTACTATAAAACCCATTTTACAAATGAGGAAACAGGCACACTCAGGTTAGCAATTCTGAATTTACTTAATGAGGTAGAATTAACTGACATTGGCTTTATCATACCTTCTAGATGAGAGTGTTCAAAGAAAAACTTAAGTGTACATACTTATTTATGTACAGATTTGTTATACACCTGCATTTCCAAACAAAGGTTTAAACCCATTAAACAGATGTCTACTATGAATTTTTAATTATGAGTTTATTATGTATACCAAATAACAAAGAATTGAAGTAGCAGTATATTTGGCAAAAAAAAAAAAAAACCACAGAAAAAGTCATAGTAAACTCAAGCAACCCAGAATAGGAGAAGCTCCACAATCTATACTTTCCTCATCAGCACACACCGGTTCTTTCCACTT